AGCGTATCTACAAAATTACAACTACAATTCACTAGTATATAAGACATGTTAATTCGACTCTATGTCGGGGTACCTTTTCATAGATGACAGTTGACATGGTCGGTAACAACTCTCACCACACCCACTATATAATTTTTTTTCGTTTTCTTGTCTGAAAGCCTCTATATTAAAAAAAAATTGCCAGTTCACCTCTGTTTCAGAAAATTTTCGTGGAGAGTGCATCTTTCAATCTGATTACTCAAAAACAAATTGTTGAAATAATACGAAATTTTGCAAATTGTTCGAGAAATGTTTAAAGAACTTTCGGATATCGAAAAGTTATTACTGCAGCTATTAGTGTTTAAGGTATATATGCCAAAAATAAAGTTTTTTTTTTTTTTTTTTTTTTTTTTTTTTTTTTTGCATCTTGTAGTTTTGTTTAGCGAAAATTATTAGCATTAGGATTATGAATTTGCAGACATGTGGTATCTGAAAACGATCGATGACTTTTACTTTGTTTAAATTTCTAATTAGTTCTTGAGTAATGAAATTACAAAGTTGCTGTTTTTTACATCAATCCATTACAATCCATTCCAATATGTCTTGATATTTTTCCACTCTATATCAGTAATTCGTCTTTCTGTGTGTTGAATAGGTGAAAAGAGCAAACGAAGCAAGCATCCGGCGTCGTCTCGATTTCAACTGAACTATAAAAGATATTCAAGCATAGGAACTGGAATATTAATCAAGACTAACGTAAAAGGAGTGTGTGTCGCTATCTGAAATTAATACCGTCTTCAGTTTCAGTGGTTGACAAGCATATGGTGGGGCCACTTGCAGAACATGCACATTAAATTCGCAAATTACTTTTTTAACGAAGAAAAACGAAATGTTTTTTTTAAAAAAAAAAACACCAAAAAAACATCACCATTGGGAAAGTAGAAATTAAAAACATCAAAACCTATTTGATTGCTGCTGAAAACGTTAAACAACTCAATTGCGTTAGAAAAGGATAAAGTTTCTTTCAGCAATCAAATAAATTTTGTGTTTTTAATCCCGTCCAGAACCGTTTTTAAGGATGGGCCCTGGCCCATCAGTTTCCCGAGTTCTGATGGGGCCCCCGAAAAGTCTAAAATCTCATTGCATTAATAGTTTTTTTTTAAAATTATAGCTCATTTATTATTTATAACTTAAGAGGGCCCCCAGATCCCTCTTTTTTTCTCTTTTTTCAAAGTTTTATTCAGAGCTGGGGCCCTCTGAAGCCCATAATATATATATATATTTCTTTCTTACATTGTCGGATGTTTTTCAAAATCTAATCGAAATGTTTATAAATATAAAATAATTGTTACTCTTCACTTTTCTAACCAAAAGAGCAATAAAACGCTCTTTCCACAGATGAAAATATCCCCACTTTCGTAACTACCACCCACAGAGTTGTCAAATAGCCTCCTCACTTTACACTGTGAGAATATGTTTTTAGCTTCTTTATATGGGCTTTTTTTCTTCTTCCTAACTTCGGAAAAATCAGATATCCACAGAAACACCCTTTTTTCTGATTTCTGGTCATAAATTTCTGGGAAAAAAAATTTCTAGGGCTGTAAATAGGGGGAGGGTCTTGTTAGTATTTCTTTGGGTCACTCTGTCTTGAGATTTCCATTGTGTCATTAAATTGGAACTCGTTCAATTCAAAATTTTCTTTCTTACGAAATTTAGATATTTTTTCTAATTTATTATAAAAGCTTTTTTTTTTCCTTTAATCATCCTAAATGTTTCAACTAGCTTAATTGTTTAATTTACTTAATTATTATAGTTGATTTTATTTTGTTATTTTCCAATTCAATCGTAAACGAATCCGTGAACTAGGAATTTCTATATCAAATTTTCGAAGGATATTAAAAAGATATAAATCTTTCACGTTGAAGGTAAGCAAATGTTTTTATTTTATCAATTTTGGTTGTGGTTAGGGAAAACATGAAAGGTTTGCGCAGCTTTTTTATATATACATTGTGACTTTTTTTTGTTTATTTATTTAAATGGCGGGCCACTGTTCAATTCCCTCTTTGACGGGCCGGTCTGCCAAAACTCTTCATTTGGTCTGTTCTGGATGAAATTGAGATAACAAAGTTAATTTTATTTTAATTTTACTTACTGCTAATGGATAGAAACAATATATGATTTTGCTTAATAGAGCATTGAAATCAAATGATCATCAGCTTAACAAATGTTTAAACATGAGAAAAAAATTGTTTAAACCTCCTGTACGACCAAATTTTCCATGTTTCCCCTAAATATGAAATATGTTGAATTTGTAATATTATATTAATTTATTTAGTTAGCTTATGATTTTATTGTTTATTGATCATATTTGTTTCTATTTTTAACTTCTTGATTTTTGTTGTTATTATGCGTTTAAAATTAATAAGGCTTCTCAATTTTTTAATTATTTAGGCTTTTAAATTTCCAAATCAAAGTCGAAACAATTACTTAAAATTGTAAATCGAAATTATATATGAAATTTTGACAGCTTTGTTTTTTATTTTAAACGTGTACATTTAATGTAATAAAATAAAAATAAAATTAAAAAATGAAAAAAAAAATACAAATAAATGACTGAATAAAATAAAAAAATTCGTTGTCATATAATCTTTTAATCAATTTGAAAATTAATAAATTATTTAAAAATAAGTTCTAATTCAGCCGTCTGAATAATACCCATGTATTAAATGGTGACTGGTGCATGTTAAATCTGTCGGGGTCATAAACTCCTCCAAGTTCTCATAACAATTCAATACCTCTGGGTACTGATCTAGGAGTTCTTTTGTCTTCTAGATAGGTTTTAAAATTTCAAGGCAAAGTTGTTAAACATTGGCTCAAAATTGAGTCAGTTTTTCAACGGCGATTATAAAAAAAAAGTTTAAAAAAAACTAACAATCAAATTGCATTTTCTTGTTTTCTTCCTAACTCCTTGCATATTTTCTACACACCTTCATAATTTGATGTTTCTGAGTCTTACAGATTTTGAGCTACAAAGCAAAATGTACCGTAAAATTTTTTTTTGCAAAAAATCATTTAAAATTGCAAATAACATATACATATATTCAAAATTTATGTATAAAAAAAATTCAAACATTTTAAGCATTACTTAGCTCAGGAGAATAAGTTAGGACAATTAGGTATTAATAACATGCATAAAATAGTGAGAAACAATAATCTCGAAGATACATTTGCAAACATTGACATTTCACTTCGAATTTTTCTGTCACTCATAATGACTAATTGTAGTAGCGAAAGTTCATTCTCCAGACTAAAATTAATAAAAAATGAGTTAAGAAACAATATGACTCAAGAAAGATTGAGTCATTTGTCAATTATGAGCATTGAATATGACGTCTTGTAGGAAATTGATTTTGATGATGTGATAGAAGATTCGCCTCTCAAAAAGCGCGAAAAGTATTGTTACCTTAATTTTTTTTATAAAAATAATGTATATAAGCTTTTATAATTAATTTAAATGTTTTTCACTCTTAAAATAAAATAATTTTTAAAAATTATTCAAAAATAAATTTCCCCTCTCTAAATTTACTCATAAAGAACCCCCAGATAATGACAGGCCCAGGGTCCCTATAAACATAAAAAAGGCTCTGATCCAATCAGATTCTTAACGTCAGATTTCGAGCTACGTTTTAGTTTTTCCATGCTAAAATATTTATCCAAATGTGTATGCATGTTTGAGAAGGATTCAAAAAATAAATAGGGTAAACCAACAAGTGAAGGAACATTTCATATATATAGGTTAAAAATAAGAATTTGAAAGTTTTTCTTTAGATTGATTGGTAACAATAGCTTACTGCCAAACAATAGGAAGTCATCTAGCAATGTTTTGGATTACCTGGTCAAATAGACTTCTCTGAAAAAATTTTTGAATTCGTTATTATCTCTGCAACACCTTGATTCTTTGAAAAAATTATAAGGTGAGTGTTTGTATGCATATGTTTGAAGTGGAATTAATTGCATGTAATAGTTTTATTTTTCTAACTGTGAAAAAGAGAATTCAAAATATAGTTATTGAAGTTACGTTTTTTTTTAAAGCATCATAACATAATAAAGTACTGAGATAAGGGGGTGTTTCTTCACTGGATCATCAAACGATGAAAAACCAGTGAAGGAACAAGTGTTCCTTTACTGGGTTATTTTCTAAGTTAATGAAAATAAAAGTTAACTTAGACTTTCTTGTACCTTTAGTGACGTTCTGCGTCAAAAGTATGTTAAAAATACGAAAAACAATTTCCAACCAGTAAGGGAACAGTATGTGTTAATATGTTGACACTTTAATTTTCAATTCATAATTACAAAAAAAAAGTTAACATTTTCCAAGTATTTATATGTTATAATTTCAAGAATAGGATTGTTTTTAAATATTTGTATGGCTTATAAATTCATAAAGAGCATTAAAAAATAACCAAAATCAGGTGTTCCTTTACTGGTTGTTCATTCACTGGTAAGAGCTGTTCCTTCACTTGGTCTTCTTACTACTTGTAATTTGAACCTTCAAAACTTTAAAACAATATTATGTAAGTTCTCTACAATTTTTTTTACATAATTTGAATTAATAACAAATATGTTGACACTGTCATTTAACTAAAATTACGAATTTTGATATTAATATGATTTTTAAAAGGCAATCGAAGCTTAAGTGTTCCTTCACTGGTTAGTTTACCCTATTAAAGACTGTGAAGGCAGAACACTTTGTATACATTTTTAAAGTAGACATTGTAGATCTTTTTACTTCGCTTTAGTTACGAAAATATTTTAAATCAAGGTTTGTGCCTTTTGAACAAATATATCACCATGTAAACAATTCTTGAATGGAAAAACATCACCGTACTTTTTATAGATAGCAAATAAATAAGAATGCTACTCAATTAATTCATAATATTTTATTTTAACAAATTTCAGCAATGATTATTTTTAAAAATCTGGACATAAATGTTTTAAAGAACTTGTTTCATATTATTCATAGCTTAATCTAAAAATGTTACAAAAGTGTCTTTAATAATAGTCGGACATTTTTTTAAAGCAAAGAAAAGACATTTTAGGGATAGAAACGTTTCAATTTTTTCTTCCTCCTAAGAATAATGCTTTTTTTTAGCAAATTAATTATTAAAATGCACTATTGGTGGTAAATTCCTGTTCTTTTTCCAAGCATACGAGTATGAAACATGATAGTTTTAGTTTCTAACATAAAAGATCTTGATTGTTATGGAAGAATAAATGTAGATAAAGTTCCGTTTTCGTTATATTTTTTTGTATACACCAAGATGTGCATTGCAGTTAGGACACTTGTGATGAATATCAGAACATGAGTCGATGCACAGCGGTACCCAGAAGAATGGAAAACTAGAAAATTTAAAACAAGTTTTAATTTTATTGATATCTTATATTGATATTGATACATTTTAATTTTATTGATATCTGTGATACAAACATGTATTTACATGTTTAAAATTACAATATATTTACATTTCAAAATGTTATAATTCAAATTATTTATGAAATGAATAAATATAAAACATTAAATAGTAATATATATCTATATAATTCCTTTGTACATAATTTCCTAAACGACGCGTTAATGCAATATTCCCCTTCAGAGACAGAATTGTTTATTTATTTATTATTGCCACCTACATTTGGAGGCTTGTGTGCTCAATTAAGACTTATAAACCATTATCGAATAGGAGGACAGATAGCACAATACTGAGAAGGACAACATCCTGGGTAATAGCGGGTTTTGAACCCACTACCACCACGTTTGGCATAGCGTTTGGTGGGCGATAAAGCTCGGTCAGGGGAGCCCCGACAGAATTGAGTTAGAACCTGTGAGTGATTTAACAAAACGTGAGTGATTTTGAACAAGGAGTGTTGAGTTATTGCTGCGTTGTTCAGCACTACATTTGAAGGGCTGAATAAGGCTGAGTTAGTATCTATAGTGGGGCCATCTGGTGTGAGAGAGTGCCAGAGTGTATCATAAAGTTATTCGGATGAATGTGAAGGTATAATATAGATATGCTGCTTTATGTACTAGAATGAAAGATTTGTGTTTTTATACCACGTCCCGGTCACTGAGTAAAGTGTGACCTGAGCACTAAATGAAAAAAAAAAAGGCTTTTCCGAATTGAGAAAAACTGTGTCAAAATAGTTTCGAAACAAATAATAGGGAATTTGAAAACACCATGTATTCAAAATTAAAACAGCATATGTGTGACTGAGATATTGTGCTCGTTGGCTGCAGGCAGGACCTACGGGTTCGTAGTAAAATGCTCCGACCACCGTAGTTGTACACCTCAGTCCACGGTGAGTTAGGAAGGTTTATTTAGTAGCCGTCTCATCGTGACATACATTCCATTCACTTGAAAGATATTAAGATAAAGCAAATAAGCAAAGAATTAAAATAACTGATTTCCCGACACAGCTATTTGAACCATATTCGAATTCGAGCATCACAATTATTCAATTATTACAATCCTTTGTACCATCATTGAAATTGGACATTAGCAGCCATTGATGCAATGATGAGTCGTTGCGGTGACTACTTTATAAAGGTTTTTAACTCTACCTGGACTTAGGTGAACATATACGGTGGTATCCTACTAGGAACCCGGAGTTCCTGGGTTCGAATCCCATCGGCAGTCCACGAACATCTCTCTCACACATTCCTCCCTCCCTTTTACTTTTAAAACTATGTATTTTGGTCAAAAATGAATGTATGCTGTTTCAATTTTGATTACATGAGGTTTTCAAATTCGATTATGATTTGTTTCGGAGTTATTTTAACACATTTTTGCTCAGTTTTGAGAAATATCTCGTGACGGTGAAGGATGAGACCTGGGTTTTCAATCGAAGGCGATTGCGAGCTTTTTTTTTTATTTTATTTTTTTTTTAAGCTGCGTGATTGCCATCTTTTATGAAACTGGCACGTCACAGACAGTAAAAATCGTGATACTTTCCTTGTGTTACTCGTTCTTGAACTTACATTAGGTCTGTTTTATGAATTTAATATTTTTAGATTGAATAATAAGTCTGGAATCAGAATTTTTTAGGTGAAATTTATTTTAAACAAAAAAATAATTAAATTTTCCTCTTAAAATTAAATATTGAAAAAAATATTTGTTAAAATAAAAAATTTAAATATAATATTTTTTTATTTTTTTATTTTCAAAAATGTTTTAATAATAAAACATAAAAATAGAGTGAATATTAAACATATTTTTTCTTCTTCTTTTTTTTAAATGTCAGTTTGATATCGCCTTTATAATATTTTTCCTGATATTTAAATGATATCATATTTTAGATTGCATGTCGTCCCCATTTAATTACATATCGGATAATCGCATTAAAATTACATACGATTATCATACGAGTAAAATTTTATGGAACCAAATCATTTTACACGAAACTAATGTAAAATTTCTTCGTCTAATTGCATAGATAAGAGAGACTAAAAGGAAAAAAAATATCTATTTAAAAATAATTTAAAAAAATATTTCACCGAATAGAATGTAATTTCAGTTTTTTCATTAAGAAGATAAGAATACAATGGTGGCTACTTCAATGAGGACTTCCTGTTCATTTACTGCTCTAAACAGATGTTAGGGACATAGTTTAAGAATTTAATCAAATTTTGTCAGCAGTTACACATTGGAATAAACTAAGGGGGATTTATCCCTCTTTCTGTCTCTCTAGAGATCTATCTCTCTAGAAGTTTCTCACTTCTTTCACTCATCATTTAGAATGTAGGAAGGAACAGAGTAGTTTATTTTGCGATCAAGACTTGTGCCCCTTCCAGGTACGCTATTAGCTTTGATAATAAAATTTTTCATATTCCTTTAAGCGGGGTTGACTGTATTGGATATTTGATCAAGGTACCTACCAAATCAATAATACTATTAAAGCAGCGATCCAAGCAGCTGCCCCATTTTCTGAAGTTGTAGTTGTAACAACGGTGGTATGGCAGACAGGGCAAGTTACTTGTACTGGAGTATCTCCAAAAGGTAATTGCGACACAATCACTACAGGTGGATTAGGATAGCCTGAAAATTAAAGTGAAATTAATTCTAAGTACAAAAATATTCTATAAGGGAATCTTATAAGATCTCTAATGAATCGTGAAACTCTTAAAACTGTATTTAAATTTTTGATTCTTTGAGATGTCCAACTTGTGAAGTTGAACTGGATCAGTTGCTCTTCAGCAGTCCATCAATTGTTTGCGTCTTTTGGTTGATAACGTAAACGATGCAGTTTCTCTATATAGTCTTGTTGCCATTGCCATCAAATTAATAAATTGTTGTACAATTGAAAGGGAGGTATTTTAACATGTTTTCAAGTGACAACATTTAAATTAGGAACTGATTTGTGTGATAAGAATGCAAGTAAGTATTAATTCAAAGTAAGAAAAGTTGAGATTGATTCAATAATTATGTGAAACTATGTGACTGTGACTTTTAAATTGTGATCAAAATAATTGGTATAATAAAGAGGTAATGCTATTTTGCATATTATTTAATTGAAAGAGTAAGAATTGTTGACAAGATTGATGAAAATTGTGTAGGAAACAAGATATTCATTACCTAGCAAACCATCTCTATAATTCTAAAATAATCATTTGTAATATTTATTATTTTCATAAAAAAACATTATTTATCTAATTTATTTGAGGTTATAATAATTTTATGAAATTTCAACAACTCGCAATAAAAGTATTTCCCATTTTGAAACCTTTGCAGGAAAGTTGACATCACAATATAAAAATAATAAAAGAAAATTTTGGGTGGCTTATAAGTTAAAGACTAAACTAATTTTTTAAAATTTTTTTTTTCATCTTATGCAATTTGAGGTGGGGCCCCTCTTAAGTTGAAAACTCTCAGTATGTTTTCCGAATGCCCTTCCGTAATTCAGTCCTTGGATTCTGTTCTATTGTAATTTTTTTTTCTTTGGAATTTGTATGATGTTGTAATAGTTACACAGGAGATATTATGAACACTGTAAAACAAATAATACAAGATTTTTATATCGATAACTTTTAACAGTGCAATCTGCACTGCAAAATCTGTTCATTTTTCTTATCACTTCACTCTTATCTAATTTAATACAAACAACGATAATAAGAGGTAAGCGGTTAAAGTACGTTTGAAACGAAAAAAATGAAAAATATTTGCGCAACCTCTTTTTTCTATCCTTTCAGAAATCTGTCACATAACCTTATCTTTCATCGAACGTTACGGAGTAGGCGTTGATATCGATTTATGTAAAATGTTATGTGTGTAGAATATAATACTGAAGATTAGTTTAACGCAACTATTTAAAAGTAAAATAGTATGAGTAAAGATTTTGTTTCTAGATGTTAAGATATTGAGAGTGCAGTATGAAGGGAAAAATTTATAGTTCTTGTTCGTTTTTAATTGTTATTTTAGCATGCTCAATAAAATATTATTACAGGATAGACAGATAATACTTTAATATCTTAATAATAAAACTTCATTATAAGTATGAACATACATTTAAAGACATATATACTGGTGTGTTCTAAAAATATTCGATATAATAAGAGGGCTCGGCCCCCTGCTTGCAATTACTCTCTAACGTCAAATAATTTTTGTTTGCTTACTGATAAATATTTTATCGTAATTTTATCCGGTTAACATAAAACAGTTTTTTTTTTTTTACAAAAGTGGAAAATATTCATTTCTATATATGTTACGCTTCCCTACGGACATTTCCCTACGGACTCTATTAATATCTAATAGTGAACTTAAATAATTTGCTTAGTAATTATTTCCTAAAATAATATTTAAAGTTCATTGTTATAATAAATTTGGTCAGTTCACTAACCGCAATTTAATATTTTTGCTTACGAAACAGGCTGATATATTAAATACAATTTTGCATGCATCATCACATTGCGCCTGAAACTGATCCTTAAGTTCTATCTAAATCATTTAACGAATGTCTTTAAGGATTATTTATATTAGCATATTAATGTAATTTACATAAAAAATAAAAATAATAATTCAAATAATAATACAAATTTTAATATGGTTAATAAATTAAGACACCAATTCATAGCCTTAAAGTGAAGCGTAATAAGGTAATATCATAGAATTACGTTATAATAAAGAAACAACTCTTTTAAGCACTTAATTTAGAAAACAATCAAAATCAGAAACTTAATAATATGAGAGTAAAATAAGAGAAGGTAAATCTTCATTTTAAATAATTACAATTTTCGCCACCAAATAACGCAACATACAAGAGAAAAAGGCAAAAAAATTGTTTTCTCTTGCATATCACACCATTCCTCTGAAAATATTTGCACAGACAAATACTCATTAGACGAATGCTCATTATGCGCCATCTGTCAACAGTTGTGTAAGTAATTTTGAAACTTGTCGGAAGTAAAAGAAGTAGTTTTCTAAGCAGAATTCAATAAACAGTACATTTATATCTCCTTCCATTTTAATATGCTTATTTTTTAAAATCATCGGCCATTTTTGGAACTACCGGTACTTAAAAATAAAACTTTTAAATTTTTAATGGATATTTTAAAATAAGTAAATACCGTAATACGAAAACAGATAAAGTGAAATGCTTCAGTTAATAAAACTTTTTAGAACCTTTTCGCTTACTTTTATTTGCTTTTTTTTTTGCTAAATTTATCGTAATAAAATTATTACAACAATTGAGTAAAATACTTTTAAACCACAACATTACATTTGATAAAGCAATCGGGTTACAATGTTTAGTTAAAAGTCGATAACAGGTATAGTCTAGTATTGTGAAATGGAATACCAAAAAAATACTTACTTTTTTCCATTTTCTTTCGTATTTAAAAAGCTGAAAAAAAAAGAAATACTATATTTAGTGTTTATATGCGTTATTTTGGGAAGAAATGTAAGAAAAAAATTATTAGAAATCTTACAACTAAATATTTTCTTACTAACTAATGATCTATTAACGAAGTCTGTTTTCTAAGTTGATAGAAATACCTAAATACTTATATTTATTAGTTTATAAATCCTGATAAAGTACCTTAATAGAATATCTAAAAAATAGATTTTACATTGAAACACTTGTTTTTTTAAGCACTTTTATTATCACTAGGATCTTCCGCTTACCAGCCCACGTAATTGATTTTCTTTCATTACCGTTTTTCCTTTCTTAAACGTCAATATATTCTTCAGAAACACAGAGTATTTTGTTTTCCAAATATATAAATACTGTAGCTTTATGTAAGAGTATTTTGTTAATATGTCAATAGTAGCAAAATTAATGTTTACCCAGATTTGAAAAGTAAAAAAAAAAAAAATATTTACTAAAGAGTACAATTTGCGTAAATTTTTTCTTTTTTTTTTCCAGTGCCCACCTGGAGAATAACCTTTCGTCATACAGGCATCTGAAGGGCTGATTTGTTGGCCACTTTTTCAGGGGCACCATATTAGGTGGGCCAATATTGCTCTCACAGTAAGAACAGATAATACAGAGAATGAAAGAACATCCATGCCTTGCCCAGGATTCGAACCCAGAACCTTTCTGATGCACGGCCAGTTCCCTTACCTGACCTCTACACAGGCCGGTCGTCCCATTTGTGTAACTGAATATGATGAAATGAATAAGAAGTAGTTTTACTCTTTGCGAAGATATAGACTTATAACAATTCAAATAAGGAAATGTTTTTATTTTGTTTTTAAGTGTTTTCTTATTTTTAAAATTTTCAATGTAAATGTTGAGATTTAAATCTGAAAACAAGAAATTCTTTCTCTTTTTATTTAATTTTTTTATTTTGCTACTTTTGTTTGTTTAATTATATAGTTCCATCAAATTCAAATTAAGGACTCTAATCATCAGAGAAGTATAACATGAAAAAATGGAGAAACTTCACAAAATATAAAAGAAAAGACTAGAAAAAATTTAAGATTTGAAAACGGAAAATATCAATTTGAATACCTCAAATATAGAGACAATGAGAAAAAAGAAAGATAATTGTCTTCAGAAAACTAATATGATTTTGGTAAATTAAGAATAAAATTATATTTGATTGTTAATTAACCAAACTCGTTACGAAACCACTTTGGTAAAATTACCGAGCTTTTCAGTCCTTCCATAGAGTCAGAAACACGGTCAATTTTACCACATTCTGGTAGACTTTTCCAACCTTTTTTTCTCTGTGTATGAGTTTTGTAAGTTTCTTATGCATACACTTCTTGAAAGATATTTACGTGCATGACAAAACCAAAATTTATTAACATCAAACTTTCTTTAAGAATGTTTTTTAAAAATTATTTTAGTCATTTAAAATGAAATTTCTATAGCATGAAATGTAATTCGAAAAGCCAAACAAACAAGCATCTGGGTATTACGACAATAAAAATTACATCGAAGAAAAGGAATAAATGAATTAAATCTCATCAACTATTTATTATTGTCTGTATCTTTTTATGATTTGGTTTTTTTAAGTATTGTTCAAGTTTTTATGAAGTTATAGAGATTTGCTTAGGAGGCAAAGCAATGCGCCTGAGCTGTTGTTTACTTAAAAATAATCTGTTCATTTAATACGTAATACATATGGAATGTTATGTTCTTCAACCAAATCTTTATATTCAAAATTTTAATCGAATGTATTGAAAGCATATTGGAACAGAATTATTAAAATTTTTATTTGAATTAAATGGGAAATAAATTATTGATGCTCATCCGAATTAATAAAACGTAAAGTAATGATAATAAATGTTATGATTTTTATATTTTATGATTATTGCATTAGAATAATTGTTTTCGTTTAAAATAAGAATAATGAATTTAATATTAGATTGAAGTGTCACGATATTAAGCTGTAAACAAAGATAGAAACTAGCCTTACTTACTTCGAATTGGCAAAAACAAATGATTTATTTTTGTCAGATGGGCATATCTTTACGCATTTTTATCTAAGACTGATAAATGATTTTTTCTAAGTTAAGGTGAAATAGGATTGCGTGTATCGTAAGAATATTTCTCACAATAACTACATATTAGCAACTAACATCTCGAGAAAGATAAGTAATTTCTTTTACATCAATGGATAAATATTCATTATTAGAATATTAAAAAAATTTAGAAAATATGCACGAAAAAAGCATTTAAAATTATAGTAATTTTCGAAAAGTTTCGACAACTTCACAGTTAATAATTCTCAAGCAAATTGTGGAATGTTAATTTTTTTTTATTCTGTCGACTCCCAGTACACTTTTTTTTACACATCTTTGTAATTTCAAATTTCTGAATCTTACAGTTTTGCGCAGTAAAGAAAATGCAACGTCAAATTGAACACGGTTTTTTAATAGATGATACGATGACACAGTTTTGGCACAATAGATATTGACTCGATTGAAGATATATTGTATGATTATTAACACACCTGGTTTTTTTTTCTCTTTTTGCTGACATGATTTGTTTGTTCCTCATTCGAAAACAAAATTTATCCAGATAAAATTCTATGCATAGAAGTAGCTAGAAAGTAATAATTCCAATAGGAAAAAATTCTTTTAGAATTAAATGGGCCATTCACTGCACATATTAAATGAATTCATAAAACAGAATGTAGAAAGCGCGACAAAAATGTACATTATTTTTCAAATTTCCTCTAATAATAAAATTTTTTATAAAACTTTTTTTTGTTAGCACAATTATTCTAAATAGAAAAAGCTATGACTAATCGAAGAGTTTTGACACGAAGAAAAAAGTCTAGTAAAATTACTGTACTGTACGGTGAACATTTTTGGTAAAAAAAAAAACCCAGATAAACCAGAATTCTGATTTATAAAACCAAAATTATTATGGTATTTAAACCATTCATTTGATAATTTTTCCATTCATATGGTAACGATTTGCTGTAAATTCTGGCTTTCAAAATTATAGTCTTATTACCACACATTTTAAGAAATACAAAACTGAAAAGGAAATTTAACCGAAAAAAATGGTTTTTATGGCACGCTCTAAGGCAGAGATGGGCAAACTACGGCCCGCGGGCCAACTGTGGCCCGTCGGAAGGTTTTATCCGGCCCGCGGATAGAATTTTAACTTGCCGACCCAAGGTAAATATAAAAATATGCATCTATTTTCTTGTCGACTTTTTTAAAGCTATTTATGTTCTTTCTTTTTTAACAAAGTACTGATGACCTTTTTACTTTCTCTATTTTTGTTCTACAAATAAATTGATGGAAATAGCACAGAGAGCTTCAATTGGTAAAATGTTGAAAGCAGAAGTTCTTTATAGAATAGCTGTAGATTGGCGTTTGTCTTTCTCGAGGAGCAAACTTATGGAATCTAATATAGGTGAATTATGCTTCACGTGTGGCAGACTGCGCATTTTAAGCTACAACGAGAGAACAATCTAGCAATCATCTGATACAGTTGTTTCTAAATATGCCAATGTTTGAGTTTTACAAATCATTACCCAAAGCTAGTACCTAAAATCTTAATATTTCATGCTCAGGAAATCAGTGCTATGTTTGCTTAATCTTAAATATATCTTAAATAATCTTAAATATAAAAATAAAATATTAAAAATAAAATAAAATAATCTTAAACATAAACAATCATTTTAGAAGTAGACTAACAGACAAGTATTTAGCCTCGTTCCTTAAAGTAAGCACATCTCACTTCGAACCTCATATAAGGAACTACTCATATAAAAATGAAATCGAAATTTCATTCATCTCACTAAATACTTAAATTAAAACTTAAATATTAGTTTTCTTAAAAGTTTAAATTTTGAAGTTTTTACTTGGCCCGCCAAACAATTTTTTTCTCAATTTTTGGCCCTCGACCAAAAAAGTTTGCCCATCCCTGCTCTAAGGTTTCATGCAACCGACAGACTATGCCAACCTTCATCTATCAAAAGAAGTTACGATTGACTTAGCATGTGTTATATACTAGTGAATTGATATTTAATAATTGTAGTGGTAGTTACGCCACAACGTACTAAATTTTACCACGTTTTATAAATTTTGTGACATACATAATGAAACCTAATTTTATTAATTTTATCAAAATTATTACTAAAGCGTTTCGGTAAAAATTACAGAGTTTTTTTGGTGTTCTCATAGACGCAGAAACACAGTAAATTTAACCATATTCTGGAAGTTTAAACCATATTTTCCTCCGTGCCTTTAAACTTAAGTAGTGAAAATAATCGATTTGCCAGTGAATGGCTCATAAATATCTAGAGTTTAATAGTCTAAAAAACAATAAATAAAGAAATTTAGAATGTATCTTCGTTTTTAGTTTTATTAATTAATTTTTACTTCCATGAAGTTCAGTTGAAGTTGGCAACAACTAAATTCAACAAGGCCTCTGGGCGGACATTATGTCATGAAAGAGAACAAAATCATAGGTATTTTAAATAGAACTATTGTGTCTGCTTCATATTATGTTTGATGTAGCACGTTTAATTATGATGAGATGTGAATGGCTATAACTGGATTTAACCTTGAGAGTTTTTCAATGCCACGTAATAGTTTCTAGTGTATATTTTTGAGCAATCTTTTGTAAATTTCCATGAAATGTGAGGGCATGCAGACAATTACTTTGATTTTTTTTCTTTCTAATCTTTTCATAAATAGTTTAAAATAAGTAGATAGTGTTAATACAGCAACAGACAAAATCGTCTGTGGCTGTATTAGAATTATTACAAATCACAGTTAAAATTTTTAACTTTTGTATCGTTTTAACGATTCATTTTTACTTGTTCATTGTTAGATAATCCATGGTCATTAGTTAAATACCTTTATAAGAATTTTGATTCATTACATGTTTCTCTGAAATTTTTTTTAAAGACGTTGCCTAATCCGGGAAAACATAGATTTTCACAACATCGTTTGACTCTGTATTAGAGTTATTATACGCTCAATCCACAAAAAAGTGAACATGAGTATGAAAATTTAAACTCCCTAAAATATGGTTTAAACCTTTCACATTAACTCTAAACGTGTAAATATTTTAATGAAAAAGGAATGCATTTTTTTTCAGTAGCCTGCTAATTTTAATTTTATAAAGTGACACTTCCCTGTATAAAATCTTTATGTTTCATGGTTTCGAACAGCTGAACAAATAATTCTATAAATCCCTAAACTTATGTGTATAATCAGACATCTATTATTGAGATTTTTTGCTGGCTGAAAAGTGTTCCCTAATATTCGTTTCAAAACATAAGCAAATTTAATATTATTCGTAATTATTGTCACACGCGCAACAAAAAGTTGCATTTATATCACCGCAGAAAAATTTCTTTGAGTGTAAGTTTTGAAACTTAATGTTTAAAAATAGTTTAAGGCCTTTTGAATTACAAACACAAAAAATTATTTAATATTTTAATTATAGTTATTAAGCGATGCGGGTGAGACATGCATTCGACATACCAGTGACATCTTTTTAAATTGAGCGAAAATTTAATATAAATAAATTATTTACTAAATTTATGTAAAATAATATGCTGAATAACACGCCGATGGCATCAATAACTATGCCCTTTGAGTTATTTGTGTCAACCCTAGTTAATAAATCACAGAGTCTCATTCGAACATGTGAAATTGAGTACATTCAGTTTGGATTAAGGTGCAGCTTTTATATATTTGCAAATAATGTATGATTCTATAAATAAATTGGAAAAAAAAATTCTATTGAAAATGAAATGAAAAAACAAGAATTTTTTTTAATGTATTTGCATAATTGTGTTATTTTATAGCATTTTTTTTTACTTTTTAAAATAAATAGATTATATTCCCTTTTTACTATAAATATATAAAACGAAACCATAAGAAAATAAAAATCATTGAAACAGTTATTCAAATATTTATGAGGTTATCATAAAATGTATAGTTTGAAATAAAACAAAATTTAACATAACCTTTCTCTAAGATAAAAAATTTCAAAACATTTCAACAATAAATATTAAAAATTTTTTAAATATATATTTTTGGAATTTTAGTGTTATATAATTATTTAACATATACTATAGACATATAATAATTATATGTATATATAACTTATACACTTAATTACAGTCAAACCCAGCTACAGTGAACCTTATTCAAATATTTACAGTTATTCAAATATTTATGAGTTTATCATAAAATGTATAGTTTGAAATAAAACAAAATTTAACATAACCTTTCTCTAGTAAAACTTTCAAAACATTTCAACAATAAATATTAAAAAATTTTTAAATATATATTTTTGGAATTTTAGTGTTATATAATTATTTAACATATACTATATACATATAATAATTATATGTATATATAACTTACACACTTAATTACAGTCAAACCCCGCTACAGTGAACCTTCCAGGGACCAAAATTTCGGTTCACTATAACCGAGGGTTCACTATATCCGTAATGCAAACAATCTTAACTAATTTTTCCGAGCCTTTCCCTTTTATTGCACATCATTTAAATAAATGTCGAATAAAAAGAAATACAAAAATGATTAAAAAACAATATGTAGTAACAAAAAATGTGTTAACTTTTATTTTAACTTACTCTTCGTCTTGCGTACAAAAAATTTAGAGATGGGAAACTGTGATAGCACTTAACAAACAATTAAAAAACGCTTATTTCTACATTCCACGCAATAGATGGTTTTAAAAATCGGTATATGTGGTTTATGTCAATATGTGGTTAAAATCAATCGAAGACAGAAAAAAGTTCACAATACCCGATTTCCTCTCTTCTTTTAGTTCACTATATCCACAAAAAATAATATTATGTGTGTATAGCAGTATAGCAAGGTACGGGCGGAGCGAACATTTCGTTCACTATATCCGGGAATTCACTATAAACCATGCTCACTATAACGGGGTTAGACTGTATTTCATTTCAGAAACATCATGAAATCCTCGGGAAAAGATTAAAGAAAACCCTTTTTTTATGCAGATTATCGACAAAAGAAACAAAGCAGGGGGGGGGGTAAAAACAGCAGCAGTACAACCAAGAAGGAAAAACAAAACAACAGTCAGTTTGTTAGGGATTAAATTAGTTTGAATTGCTTTACTGCCTATCTGTTCTGATTTTGTAGAAAGAAATGGATTTTCAATGGATATAGAGCAGTGGTTCCCAACCTTTTGTGAACCATCGCCCCCCTCTTGGGGTTGGCTGACACATATCGCCCCTTTCTCTTTTTGCTCAAAAAACCATTCATTGTTGCTTGTGAGCAACCAAACACTGAAAATATGCTATGTTATTTGATTTTAATTTAAATTGTAATGCAAATAAGGAGGCACATTTATCCTGTCATTTTTATTAATTAAAAAAAAAATTTGCATCTTTTTTTTCGAAAAGGAAATGATATTTAAAGCGGAATAATAAAAACAAAAGTACATTTTTTTAAATTCATATTTTAATGTAATAAAAAAAAGTTAAAACGTTAACAACTAAAATTTGAGAAAAAAAATGAAAAGGGAGAAAGTACATTTTTACCTGTGCCCTGTGCTTGGTGTCAGGTTTAATGCTCGTCAGATTTAAAGGCGGATCTCCTTTGAAGCAAATGTACAACCTATCTCTTTGCTTTGTGAGCAGCTGGAAGACAGAACTAAATCCTCTCTCCACTAAATATGTTGACGGGAACGAGATGAGAAGCGGCTCAGTTTGTTTCCACAATTGTGGATAAGTGTCCATAAGCTTTACCCAAGCTAACTCGTAACCGTATTTTTTAAAGACGACTTTAGCCTCACAGTCATACTTCAAATCTAAAATCTCAGTCTACAAAGAGGAAGTGAGCTTATCCACAACTTCAAAAGAGAAAGGATCGAAAATCCAATCCGGAATTTCTAATTTCATCAAATCTTTAAATCTTGATTCCATAACTGATCAAGGTGATCAGTAAAAATTAAGATTTTATTTTCGAGAATCTCGATATCTGCCATTGAACACTTTTTAAGAGTTGGAAATTGCATTAGCTCTTTGCGACCAATGTTTGACTTGTAGATATCAAACTTGGCGATGAATGAAGATATGATTCCCTTAGCCTTGATAATGTTCATTTTATTTCCTTGAAGTTTTACGTTGATTTCCTTCATTTTTTCAAAACTATGAGTGAGGTACGCAGTTTCCAACTTGCGTTGCTTCAAACTCTCACTTAAAACAGGATCAGTGGTGTCGAGAAACTCAGTAACCGAATCCAGCAATTCGAAGAAACGGCTCAGTTTCCTTTTGAAAGCCATCTCACAGCTGTATGTAGGAGCAGGAATTCGAAATCTTCATCATTTTCATGGCAAAGTTCTCGGAACAAACGGTTATTAGGAGAATTAGCTTTTATTTTATTGATGCCAGAAATAACCAATTTTTCGCAGCCAAAAGTTGACGATGAATGACATAATGAATGGTGAGATAACTTCCGGTACTTCTTTTTTAAGGTGACCCAGAAACCCAGTATGACAACCAGACATGGTTGGAGCACCATCTGTTGCACAAGCACTTACATTTGTGAGGGGAATTTCTTTTACCTCAAAATAATCTTTGACCAATTTAAAAATCGACGATCCTTTTGTATCTGTGTTCAAAGTTCTTGTAAACAACATTTCCTCGTTAATCTCCTTACTCTCATTTATGAATCTCACGTAAGCTAAAACAGCTTTGTTATCTATCACAGTTGATTCATCAATCTGCAACGCAAATTTACCTTCTTTCAGAAATTTGATGAGTTTTGATTCAACGTCGGCGGCCATCTCATCAATACGCCTGGAAACAGTATTATTGCTCAGAGGAACAGAGTGACTTATCAGATTTCCGCCTGCGATACCAAAACGTATGACGAAAACGATCCTGCACTTGAATTTTTTTTAATTTTTAACTATCATAATTCTTTGTCTACACCAGAACCATAGGTTTCATATATATTTTCAATTTCAATCTCAAATAGCTTTTATTATTAATATTATTAGCAATTTTTATCTTTTGAGTACTCGTCGCCCCCCTAAGAATTATCGCCCCCTTGAGAAGCTCCATCGCCCCCAGGTTGGGAACCACTGATATAGAGGATTAGCCAAATTTCTAGTTATTTTTTTAAGAAATTTTCAACAATTTTGATAAAAACTTGTATTGTAACAAAAATGACATGTGTTGTAACACATTTCTACAAATATTCAATAATATATAATTAAAATGCTATTAGTGTTCTAGTAAAACAATTTCTGATGATAAAACAGTTAGAAAATTCAAAAATAAGAAGTTGGGAAAAACTGTTTTAACTTAATTGCTTATCATATTAATTTTAAAATAGATGCCACAAAACATCTCAACTATTAATCATCACATCCACTTTGTCTCCGTTAAGAGTAATGGATTTGTTTATAAACTTGAAAACTCAATATTCAATAATTAGTTTGAAAGTCAATTATTTTTATCAAATGATTCAATATTAGCATTTAAATTGATAAGAAATTAATTTTATGTTGTATTTCTTTATTGTACAACTAGATGGCAGCACTATTTTTGTTAATAATATTTAATTTTATCTGATGTTATTTTTGAAGGATGAAGATAATAGAAATAGCATTTTTTTTCAGTATTTCTTTACTTATTTTCTTGTTGTAGTTCTATACAAACCTATTAAAAGGTTTAAAGAAGCTCCCATTTTTTTCCTTTGTGAAAGAAATTAATGTTTTTAAAAATTGTTAGATTTCTTCTCGGTGCCGTGGAATTAGAATTTTAGTTATTAAGACGTCAATAAGATTTAGACAACAAAACTGTTTTTAACTTATAATTATATGTTGAAAAAACAGCATTGTTAATAGATTGGTTAATCCCAAGATAAATATTTCTAGTAAATTCATACTTTTTTCAAAGTTACAGTACTTGTCTATAATTTGGCGCCAACTTAAAACGGTATTAAATTAAATAGTTTAGTGCAAATAAGTAATTCTTAAACGTGACAGCACAATAAATAGAAATTCTAAATTTAACATCTGAATTAAAGTTGCCCGCAACAATTTAATATTATTGAAGTTCCACGTAAAAGTGTTTAATATATTTGAGAAAAAAGAAAGAACACAGTATTTCAAGTATAGTTAAATTTACTGTAATTTTTTTATTTTTGTTGAAAGAATTAAAATAATTTGTTTGCTCATTTGTAAGGATATTTCCTTTAAATTTTTTAAATTCTTACCGTGCAAAGAAAATGTATTTCAAAATAGTGATAAAAATATTGATGTTAGAGAATTAATAGTAGAGCAATTATTTTTGTCTTAAGTGGAAATTTTTTCTGTTGATTAGAGATGAAGTTTGAAGTTTTTGAACAGAGGACATATTTTTAAAATGCTAACATATCATTCCGGGTATCAATAATTGTTTTAATTCTACAATCTTATCAATACGTTAATCATGAAATTTTTTGTATTCTAAGTGGGGTATCAGAATATATTCTCTATATTTTAAATTCCGACATTTAAGTGCACAGCGAAAAAAGAAATCAGAGTAAAATTATCATACTGTACGGTAATAACATTTCTGGTAAAAAAAATAATAATTCCTGTAAATAAAACCAAAATACACAGACCATTCATATGATGACAGTTTACGATATTTAAGAGCTGGATGATAAGTAGTGCAATTATTCTTATTTTAAGTGGAAATTTTTTCTGTTGACTAGAGATGAAATTTTTGAACAGAGGACATATTTTTAAAATGCTAACATATCATTCAGGGTATCAATAATTGTTTTGATTCTACAATCAACTAAGAATAATTTCAACTAGAATTCAGCTATTCTGTTTTTAAGCTACATATTCAAATTCACATCGAGATATTACAATTATAAAATTTTGATGTGTGGTATGTTATCTAAAAGTAATAAAGGGATAATCTATGCATATATTTTTTGAAAATAAAATTTTCAAACGAAGAGTATTTCACTTGGAATTCTGCGGATTTATAAAATAGGTGAGTGTTATGATTTTTATAATAAAAAATTTGCTTGTAAATAATTCTTTTTCTTATTTGATGATCGTCTCTACACAATGGTTTTTGACGTCTGATTAAGAACTATAAGAATGAAAAAAAAAAGAAACAATATGAAAGTTTTTATTTCAATATGAAGAATTTTTAAAATCGTTTTTTATAATAAGAATTCCTTATTTTACGTTGTTTAGTGTGTAGTTTTTTGAAAAAAATTGTTGACAAAATACTTTTTTTGAAAAATTAAATGGTATAACATTATGTGTTTATGTATACTTCTTGTATATTCCAATGTTTGAAGTAATATGATTCAGAAAAGTATGGAATAAAAATTCGATACTTACGTATTAACGCCACCGCGCAGCTACAGATTTGGCGGTTTTTAAGTGCCGCCAATCTACACTTAAAATTTTTGTGACAAATCATAAAATGAAACACTTTATTTAAAATCAAAGTAGTGAATCAGATTTTGGTGGAAAATGGGTAGATATAGATTTTAGCATAGATTCAAAACAATCTTTTATTTTCTTTCACTTGGTCGCTATATAAACTCTAATAAATAAGATTTCAAATGAAATTACATTTCCAAAACGTACGTTTACTAAGATAAAGCTTCATGTCATGGGAATTGGTACATTTTCGTTTTTTCGGTAAAATATTTCGCTCCTGAAAAAATAAAAAAATTTTTTTTTTTTTTGGCGAATTCCAAAGACGCATTTTCGTAGCACTAAAAAATGGCGTCAAAAAAGAATTTTTTTCGTTTTTTGTTTCGTAAACATTCTTTATTTTACGTTTTTAGTTTCTAAATAATGATTTTTATTGAAACTTGAAATTTTTGATATAAATTGTTGTCAAAAAACTTTGTTTACAAAATTAAATTATATAAAATTATGTCCCACTTTTTGTTCATTTTAGTTTTTGAAGTAATATGATTCTTAAAACCATGGAATGTAAAGTTTAAATGTTAAGTTAAAGTTTAATTAACCTTTCATGCTATATCATTGAATTTGGTAAAACTATTTCTCAGGCATAAGGTTTTAACTCTAATAAGAATATACAGATTTTTTTCTGTTTATTTACAAGCATTTTTCTGATGTGTTTTGGATGTTCCTTCTCTGAAAAAAAAGAGATACCATTTTGTTTCCGTTTGCATAAGAAAGAATATTAAGTATTTTTCTTTTTTAAATTTAATGAGCCACTATAAAGAAGGAACGCTGCAATGCTACACGCTACATTGAAGGCGTCTCAACAGTAACTGAATGACTGTTCATATAGAAATCGCAGGTATTTGTCTCATACAACAACGCCCCCTATAGTTCGTTGCGATCGCGAATACAGATCTAACTCTAGAGAGACTTCATTTTATTTGTTCACTGTAATTTGGTTATAGCTTTTTCTGTTTACCTCTTATTTTGTCTGCAGTTGTCTTTGTAATGCCATTAATAAAAAATAAAAAAAAAAGACTAACTCTACTTTGAGGAACATTTTGACTGAAATTTACATTGCATGAAATTGAGAGGCCCCAAACCTATACTAGAGTATATCGGCTAGGGGACTCAAACCCTTGATTGGTCAACCACCGAGGATACTTTTGTTCATTCTGTGGTGCACTCTCATTCTTGATAATTGAGCAATCCTTGTGCAAGTATTTCGTTAATTTTAAGAATCATTTCGTCCCGAAATGACGTGATTCATGGCGAAACGCGAAATTTCAAATCTAAGACGAAAATGTTTAAAATCGAAGCATCATCGCTGTGCATTTAGGGTGAAGTCACGGTGGCTTCACCATCAATTACTCATTCACAGACCAGCAGTTGCAGTGTGAACAGTTTTGTCTTATCTACCGTGTCTTCCGTTGTCCTGTCTTATTAAAAAGTTGTTGTATTTTTCAATCTAGCTGCACATCTTACAGGTATTTTTATACGATTTTATTACACCTGCTGTGTATGTTTGTGGTACAAAATTTGTAATCGATTTTCGATAACTTCTATTTGTCCAAATGTATGAAGTTTTCTTCCGGTGCTTTGCAATAATTTTAATATGAGGGATGTATTTCTCAGCAGGTTTCAGGAATTAAAAAACAGTAGAGCAACTTCAGCATTTGTCGAAAATCCTTTCAATACTACGATAACCGAGTTGAAATTTTCTCCTTTTGAAATTGACATTGGTAGCTTTGAAATACGATTGCTGGATTTAAAAAAGAAGGAGATATGGCGCTCTAAATTCGAACGTCTTTGTGTTGAATTGGAAATATTGGAGAAGAAAAAATGTGATCTCAACACAAGTGGTCTGCTTTGAATGACCTGGAGAAGGAAGGCATGATCATTTTCAACGCTTGGAATAGTATTCCTGACTCTTACGATCAACTGAAAAAGCTCGTGTTTGCTGTTCTTTCCCTTTTCGGTTCTACACATACATGCGAACAATCTTTTTAAAGCATGAACATTATCAAGAGTAAACTGAGAAGTCGTCTTTATTGATGAGAACTTGGAATCATTCCAAGGAGATGCAAGCACTTTGTTCGCATTAATAAATATTTATTAAGCATGAAATTTGCAAAGCAGAAAAAAAGCAGATTTGGCTCCCAATTTTTAAAAAAAAATTGTTGTAATGTTCATATTTGGCTAATAAGTTTGCCGACCACTGCTCTAGACAATCAAAAATAAAGCGACAAAATAAGCCAATCGATTGTATGGCGGTCAAGGCTTTGCACAAGGAGGATCCGGAGATCGTTTCCCAGTTCGGGTGTTATTGTAATACATTCATTTTTTCGATCTGTTCTTGTTGTGTTGTGCCACGGTTAGAGAGCCCAAGTGAAGTGATTATTAGAAAAGGATTAAGGAAGGATTTTTAAGAAGATTAGGCACTTTAAAGTTTTTTNATCTCAGGGGGAGGGGGGGAGAATAGAATGACGAATTATTTTTTTAAAAAACTTTGATGAAATTTGTTTTCTTAAAGAAGTCATTTCATCACTTGATTTTTTTTCCCCTCTCATAGCACATACCAGGAATCGGCTTCATCAAAAATGACGAAAGTTTTTACAATATGTGAAGAGGAGCAGTATACTAATAAACCTGGTTCCACCGATTGAACTAAATTGCTTGATTTTGTGCCGAGTGCTATATCTAATGCTCTTAATTATGACAAACCTTTTTAAATATAAAATTTTTCCGTAAAACTACAAGTAAAAAAAATCTCAAAGAAATAAAACACAAGTTGCACACTTACTAAAAAAAAAAAAATACAAATCACATAAGCAAAAATATTTACTCGTACAAATTCACATTTATATAGTTTTCAAGAAATCACATATTATTTATATGTAGTTCCAAAAGAAGCTCAAAAATTCTATAACTCTTTATAAACACTATTTATCAGCATTTTCCTTAATATTTGAAAACAGGGGTAGGAATATGAGGACTATGAATCTGAAAAAAAAATAAGCAACCTTAAAACTTTTCGAATTATAATTTAGTGATTAAGACTTACATAAACTATAATTGGTGAATTTAAAAACGAATCTTTAAACTCTCAATTACAATTGCAGCTACTTTGTTACAAACGTAGTTAACTACAACTCCTCTTTTTTTTTAAATGCAGTGACAACAAACTTTCAAAAGGTAGTCAATATTTCATTACTTTAAGGAACCAAACTTTGTAGGAGAAATTAATTTACTCTTAGGTTCATAATTGTTTTGAATGAAAAGTTGGCTTGCATTAAACATGAAGAATTATTCAGAAATATTTATTCATGTTTACACGAGCCAATTCGTTATTCTGAAGCATTTTTTTAGAATTTGTTCATTTAATCCAACTTTTTATGCTGTTATCGACAGTGAATATTTAGTTTAAAAAATGTTAGGAAATAATCAATAAATTCCAATTTCGTGAGTCGTTTAATGTTCTCTTATTACTTCTATGAAATGAAGTGCATCGAAAATGTGTTTCCCTCTTTAAAAATAACATCAATATTTCACAAGTGTGCATTCGCATGTGAAAATGTGACCAAGGGTAATAAATTATATATTATTCATAATAGCTAACTCAAATATTAGTTATACGTGACACTACAGGACATTCTTGTGAAAAAAAATCTTAACTAGGAACTGTGCAATAACAAAAATCATTTTTTCTACCTCTTAAAGTTCTTAATTTAAAAACATAAAATCAATAAAAATTCAAAAACTTTGCATAATTATGATAAAATAACTAGTTTCTGATAAATATTGCAGAGAAAATTATAAAAATCATGAATTTTTTGTAATTTAAAACGACAATCGATACGCAAAGAAAAAATCTCTTTTTAAAAGATAAAAAATTGAGCACTTTTTACAAACACCATATAAAAAAAGCACCTTTAAGGGCGTTTAAAAAACGTAAAACAAAAATAATCGAATTCTTGGCCATAGATGGCGCCACTGAAAAACAAGAAACGCACACTCTGCTTTAAATTTGCTCGGTTTCATCAAGCAGGCTTGCCCGTGTGGCAAGTGGCATTTGAACCAACCAAATTGCGTCTATTGACAGAGCCGCGAAGATTTTGTACAAATCAAATTCATAGAGTTAGTTGTGTCTGTTTATTTTACTGTGTTAACGTAAAAAGTAGTTGCTAGGAATCGCTACAAACAACTGTTTTTCTGTATTGCACTACTCACTACTTTTCTTTTTTTTAAAAAAAGTAACACACTACACTACATAAAAAGGGAGCGACTGCAGTAGTTTCACTACTTGTAGGTCGTGCGCTTCTTCCGACCACTGTCCTGAAGCATAAAACTTTTATTTCTGACGATTCGACAACCCTACCCTTCATCTGAATTTTATTTTTGAAAATCATTAAATCAAAAATCACATGACTTTCGACGAAAAGTAAATTCTTGAATATTTGAAGGCACTGTTTTCTCAATCGTGAGTCATGCTAGTACATTCTGGGAATTCTACAACATTTTCCACCTGAATTCAAAACCGTTAACACTTAATGACGGTATTGGGCAGGGATCAATTCTGTTAGTCAATTAGATTTTCTGGGATTGATTCCAATAGATGATTGAGTGATCCAATGATGAATAGATATTTAAAAGTGTATTATTTATTATAATTTGTGTAATTGATATGTTGGATTAAACATGTTTTTGACGAAATTCGTATTTTCGAAAAAATGAAGATAATAATTTCATCAATTTGACAAAATGTTCGCTGGGAGCATTGGCTAGAAAGCATTTTCGTCAAAAACGAAGATATTTTCGAGAATTTTGATTATATATTTTTACAGTATATTAGTATCACTAACCAATATTAAAAATTTGGCGAAACTATTTCCTCATTCGTGCATCTCAATGCATTGCGGGAGTTTTTCAAAAAACTTTTATTTCAGTTTAAAACCATTTACTCAAAATGACAGAATGGTGCAGAGGTTAACATTTGTAGTAATTCTACAAGCTTTGGTTTGAGATCATGAATGAGTAATTACTCACTCAAACTCTTTTTATTTTATGTTGCACTTCTTAATCAATCTTGTAATCAATACGTTGTACTAAGCTTAATGCCGCTGGCGAAAGTATTACCTCCCAAACAAGTGACGATATTAACTTCCTCAATTTGACAAAATACTAGCTCGGAGTTTTACCCAGCATACTGTTTTGTCAAAATTTTTATACCTTTCGTGATTTTGAGCAACCATTTTTACAGCGTAGAAAAACAAATTCATTTTTTTCAAAGGAAAAAAATGCATTGAAAAATCACTTGATTACTATATGTAAGGTAAATACTGCTGTGTTTAAAATTAATAAATTTCTGATAATATTCTTATGTATTTCAAAAATTAGAGAAAATATTTTTACTTTTAAATCCTTAAGTTTGAGATTTAATATTAAACGTAATAACAATATATTTTTTTTCAAGTAGAAAAGGCGTTAAAAACTCTATACCTTTAAAATAGCGAAAAATAATCCACAATAAGAATACTTTGTTCACTTTGGTTGAATTCAAATTCTCTTGTAAGCACCAAGGTATGCTCCACATGACGGACACTGATGTTGGACATCTTTACAAGAATCACTAAAAAGAGGTACCCAGAAAAGAGCACAGCTGTAGGGAAACAAAGATTTTTAATTTATATGATTAGTACACTACATTTTTCATATTAACTACGGAAAACTAAATGATTGACCTTCTTTTGACAGAAACTCGACTTGAGTTTACCAAACATATGGGTCAAATAAGCCGATTTCATAAGATATTGCTCACCGTACAATGCAATGGTTATAGTTCAACATGATTCCTGGATTAAAAATTGTTAGATCATTTAAGAAATTCGTATGCTCGTCGTCATGTTGCTCCAATAGTCTTGCTAAGATTTTTCCTGTGAAAGAACATCTCACCGAGTAGAAGGACTGATTGAGGACGAATTAAGGAAGATTTAGGAAGAGTTAAAAAGTGAAATAGGGATATAGCGTATATAACAATTAACTTATAAACTAGTTCACATGAGAGCATTTAAAGTGAATACAGAAACATGTAAAAGAGGAATGCACTAAGATCAAAAAAATGGTAGGTTTTATTTACCATAACATGCAAACCAATAATGCTGCTATCCAAGCATAAGCACCATTAGAAGCGACAGTTGTAGTTACAATAGCTTTGTGGCAGTTTCCACACGTTATTTGCATAGGGTCGGGTCCAAAGGGAGCTACAGGCATGACCACAACAGTTGGTTGAGGTGCTAGGAAAAAGACACAAAAATTATAAGATAAAAGTATACTGTTATCAAATACTTAACCATTGAATCTTGGTATATTTTCTATAAATATACATAGAATGCAACTGTATTAAAAAATACGTCACGTGTTATTTCTAACAACATTCCGGATTTATTCGAGTTTTCATCAGATTACTATGAAAAAAGTGTCTCTTTGTGAAAAGTTACTTAAATTCAGAAATTAAGGATTTTTTAAGTAGCAACATCTTTACAAATGAGGTGAAGAGTTTGTCAGTGTAGTTAGATGGCTAAAAATCTTGTTCTGGCGAATTGGAGATTCCAGGTTCGCTCCCTCCAAGATGTTAGAAATGGTAAACCTTTGAAAAACAAAACAAATAAATTAAGGCTCAATTTATTACTTAAACGTCTTCTAGAAGTTTATAGAGCATTCTATAAAATCATTTATAGTTAACTGTTTAAAAGTTTATGTGTTTCAATAAATTTGTTCTGTTGTCAGGATTAAGTTCGATTCTTAATATTTATGAGTATAATTATAAATGTAATGTAATGTTGCATATTACTTACATTTTATTTTACATACTCATACATTAATAATTAAACCTTGAATATTAAGGTAATATTTTTAATAACCTTAATTTATCTAATAATCTAAATTCTGAGTTAAAATTTTATAAAAATATTTGCTCTTTGAAACCGGTTCTTGAGAATAGCCGAATAACGAATAGGCATTTTCTGGGTAAAGTAATTTGTAAAGGATCCTTTTTTATGATAAAATAATTTGTTAAGGATATTTTTTACGGTAAAAACATCCGAGAGATGCTCTATTTCTATGATAAAATAATTTGAGAAGGTTCTTTTTTACGGTAAAAACGTCAGTGAAGTGCTCTATTTCTATGATAAAATAATTTGTGAAGGGTCATTTTTAAATAAAATAATATGGTAGGATCTGCTTAATTTGCGGAGCGACTTTTATGATAAAAATGATTTATAAAGGATCTCTTTTTTTAAAAAAAATTAAAAGTTGAACAAAACTTGATGACAGGTTACGTGTTTGTCGTGCAACTAGGTCACACATCGAATATTTGTAACTGAAAAAACAAACTTTTGGTACAATCCCTGTGGCAGAATTTTTTCGAGCTATCTGCGACAAAACTCCCTAACACTAATATCTCTTAGCAAAATACTTTTAATAATACATAATATATGTTACTAATTTAAAATAACAAAAGCGTTGTGTTTACTAAAAAAAAACTGTACAATATTTTTTTAATTGAACATGCGATAATTTTTTATTCTGATATTATCGGTGATATTCTTGCATTTGGTCGGGGGGGGGGATGCACAATTATTACCTTTTTCGCATTTTGTAAATAATCATCACTATAAAAATAATTAAGAAAATCCGTAGTAGTAATTGCGAAAAAAAGATCGACTACGAAATCACGCGAATCGGACTTCTCAAATGCGTGTTTCGTTTGGAGATTAGATTGTTGTAATAAATATCGTATAAAAAATATCGGATTTAAAAACTATGGAGAAATCAATAGAAATAACTGTCAAAAATTCTTTAGAATTAAAAAGTAAGAACTCAAATGCACGATATGAATTTTCCATATTGTTTGAAATGTATCGGGATATTTAAAATCTATGCAGTTACACACAAACTTTTCATTTATAATGTATGTAATAATTTCAAAAGTATAAATATTTAAAATACATTTGTGCTAGCCCTGTACTTCTTGTATCCCTGAACTCTTTTTATGCTAGCATTGTACTGCGCTGGAAATCCATTATTTGCTCGACATACGAGGGCTGTAAATTAAATAGTGGCAACTTAACCTTGAAACTCACAGAAGGGTGGGCATGCGCAAATAGGATATGGGAACGGTGAAGTGGAGCTGTTGTCGATGTGTAGAGTGCAAAAAAACAGTCGATCTGCTTAGAAGGGTAGTTGTTGTGTGGCGTTAAAGTGAGGAGTTTCGTGTCCATCGCTGTAAAGCATGTTTTCAAAAGGTGATCAGCTGTCGTCGCTTAAAATCGAGGTTGTCCGTGGCAAAAATGCAACAGAATGCTATCGAGGATTAGTGGAAACCTGTGACGCAAATGCTTTACCGTATTGGTCAGTAGAACGATGGGTTCAAGCATCTCGTCTTTTTCGTCATTAAGCCTTTTGAAAACATGCTTTAGAGCGATGGAAACGAAACTCCTCACTTTAACGCCACACAACAACTACCCTTCTAAGCAGATCGACTGTATTTTGCTCTCTACACATCAACAACAGCGCCACCTCACCTCTCCCATATCCTATTTGCGCATGCCCATCCTTCTGTGAGTTTCAAGGTTAAGTTGCCACTATTTAATTTACAACCCTCGTATAATTCCTAACTATCTTGAATCTATATAAAAAAATCTATTACTAAGTTTTAATGAACATTCAAAAAACTTTAATTTCATTCCTCTCTGAAAGCTTTAAGCTGGTCTTATCTTCTTAACATCCTCCGATTTCATGATTCAAAACCTTCCAGATTTTTCGTGATGCAAACAAACAGAAATGTCCGTTAGATAAATTTCTAGTAAGTGTTATTCCTGGAAATTTCTTACGTTTGTCTGTAAATAAGGGTAGGATTTGCTAATTAAATTAGATTAAGTTTTAAATGTGATAACGGATACGAATGACATATCTTTGTATGAAAAATAACAGATATTTGATATAATTTTTGAAAGCGGTTCTTAATGCTAGAAGAATTTCTGAAACTGCACCCTCTGTTTGGTTGATTTCTTCTGAGTTCATTATGAAGATATTAATAAAAGGAGATAAAGTGTCAAGCTTTTGAATCATTTTTAGTAACAGTTTTTGGATTTTGCGGCGGCAGAATCGCTACTAACTGATTAATAAGTTCCGAAGTTTCATTTTTTTCTCAACATGAGCTGATGTTAAAAGTAATATTTATTAGAATATACAGGGAACCCTAAACTAGACGGACGATTTTCCAAAATTTATAACGACGGACGATTTTCCAAAACGGTTAAGATAAAAAATAAGTCTAGCAGAAAATTCATGTGTCAGAACATATATTTTATTTTCCAGGGTTTTTGATTTCAGGTCAAAACTTTTCAGACGGATGACACAACAGATAGCAAAACCTGTAATTCAAAAAGAAAAAAAAATAACTGAAAACAACTTCAAAGTCTTTCAAAATCTTTTATGAATGAATGTTAAAATTACAATATTTAAATACAGAAATAAGCAGCTCTCAATTGTCGCAATGAAAGGGTTGAGACTTACAGCTCCATCTTTCGAAAACTTTTTGAACTAAAATTAAAAACTCCGAGAATATAAATTTTGTCCCGTCACATGAATTTGCTGCAAAGATTGTTCCTTTTAGATTTAGCTTTGACTATAATAAATTTCTTTTTATTTAAGGATGGTTAGTAATAAAACTAGGATAATCTTTTAAATATAGAATTTTTTTTTTAATAAATACACTTTGAACGTGTCTTTTAATATTATATGTCAACTTAATTTACAATTTTACTTTATTAGCATGGTTAAAAAATCAACTTTAAAGATTGACACGTTTAGAATATTATATTAGGAAAAATACACAAACTATAATTATAAAAAAAGTTTAATTTCACAAATGCTCTTTTCATTAAAAAAATTAAAATATTTCCTACAATAACCAAAGTAATGGTGTATAATAGAATAGATTTATAACATTGAACGAGTAACTGGACGAAACAGTTGAAATATTATGGAACATAAAACATGTTCTTTTTCTATTTTTAGTGATAACGCAGAAAGAAATGTTAACAACTAGCAGCTTTGCTAAAAACTTGTGTAATACGAACCAAATCTCAGGAAATAATAAATATAATTGCCTATTATATATGCGAGAAGTATATAAATATAAAAATGTAATGCAAATATAAAATATTGTTTTAAAATATAACATAAAAAAGTTAACATACATTGCTCCATATTTCACTGCAGTAAAAAGCTGAAATAAAAAAATATGTATAAATATTTTACGGAAATACAATAAAGAAAAATATTAAGGGTTTGGAGTAGTATTGAGTTAGATCATGCATTTTCCAAAGGTGAAATTTTTATATTACGCTGTTTATTGCTATTCCAAATCCGAGCTTAACAAGTCTTTGGAATCTCCGCTAGGAAACAGTACTATACACAACAAAAACTTACTGCTTACGTGGAAATCGTGGTGTCCCCCAAAATATTAATACAGTACTGAACAATTCGAAAATGTGGCCTATCAAATCGGCCTCAGGCCTTTATATCTGTGTTTTGTAATATTACAATTTAAAGTTAATTATAAAAAATTTTTTAAATATAAAAAACTTTATTTTATATAGATAAAATCATTTCCTGTTTGTCTCTTGTCTCGTTATATTGTATACATAATCGATATGTTACCGGCAAAGTAAATCCGGCATTATATAGAATGACTAGGCATTGTATAGAATGCCTAAAATTAGCCGGCAAAGTATGAAATGATTTATATTTCACACATTTCCTAGGTATTCTATAGATTGCCAAATGAGAAACTGGCGAAGTATAAAATACATCTCCGAATCGTTTCAAATATCACTTGTCAAGGCTCGCGACTCTTAACGCGTGGCTCGTGACTTTTGAGTAATAACAAAAAATATTTTTTTACTGTGCTATATGGAAATGGCGGAATTTAATGAAATTGACATGGAAAAATTTAATGAAATGTAATTAAAAATGTCATTCAAGCCTGCCATGTTGCAACAAGTAGGTTAATTTCATATTTTTTATAGGAAAATTTTGTTTCCCTTAATAAGAAAGGCTTAAATTCTGTTTTGCATAACTTTTCAATTTTCTTTCAACGTTTTGCAATGGCACTCTCAGTATTTTTTCAGAATAACATTTTTATTTTTGTGAAATCCATGTTACTGTGAATGACCGAAATTAGTAGTTTTACATTTATTCGATATTTTAATACTTACTGACGATAGAT